AGTATGGAAGAGAAACATTAATTAGGGGGTATTAATGGAGATCACACAAAAGAAGGGGCAAAGAAGGTAAATTGAAGGAGATTGCATACAAAAGTACACGTCTTTCAGTTTTGGCACAGAGGAAGCTCATGACACTCACCAAAGCAGCACGAATGATTTTTAATTAGGCTTCCCTTCTTGTGATTCTCCTCCAAATTTATATCATTTCATACGTTCGATCTTGTTTTCATGCATGTGACTTTCCTCTTCTCTACCGTGAGTCTCTTCAATTTCCTATACGCTATGTTAACGATCCACATATCATATATATACCTTCTTTCTCGCCGTACGTACCATTCCATATACTTACTACTTCATCACAATATATCATGAAGTCTCTCCTTCTCCTTGTTCTTTTCCTCTCTTTCTTCTTCGGTTCTCTCTTCGCTACTAGGCATCTCCCCTATCCAAGTATGTATGCTCTTCTCTCTCGCTCTCCTTCTTTCGTCTTTTACTGTCTTCAAAGCTCTCTAACTCGTGTTCATGCGTAGGTCATCATCATGCGGGAACTACGACCGGGACATTGAAGCATCGGCAGAGGAGGCCGGATACGGTGCAAGTGGCTGGGTCTAGGTTGCCGGACTGCTCACACGCGTGTGGCTCATGCTCCCCATGCCGTCTTGTGATGGTTAGCTTTGTGTGTGCATCGCTTGAAGAGGCTGAGACTTGTCCCATGGCCTATAAGTGCATGTGCAACAATAAATCATACCCCGTCCCGTGATCAGCCTCTGTTCTCTATGCATTCATTTCAACCGTTTTTGTTTTACTTTTATGTGCGTATAAAATGCATGTTTTTTTTCGTCTTCATCATCATTTGGTGCTTTCGTTCCTCCACTTAGTTAAGTAGCTAGGGTCCAAATCTTAATCAAACACAGTTTACGAACACAAGATTTTAAAGAGTGAATTGACGAAACTGAGAGAAGCCACTCAACTATTTGGGCTCTTCCACTATATTATGGGCCATGAGGCCGCATTTCAGACTGCAACAACCAAAATTGTAGAAAGAATAAAAAAATTAAAGGTCTCGTACGTTGTTGTTGCCACCAAACTTTGGAGGCTCTCTAATAATAACCACGCTACGTTATCTACCCATTTGTTCCACACCATCTATTTTCAACCATACCATCTCACCTTCGTTAATGTTCCTACAGTTAGCTCAATATTTCACTATATACACACACATGCCTTCCCTCCACAAGATCAAACAAATACACACGATCGAGCTTCATCTTTACCTTCCCAATACTTTTCTATCTACAATAAAAAACAAAATGGCTTCGTCCTTGCTCTCACCCGCACTCGCTGTCGTGCTACTTGTCCTACTGCTTGCATCTGCAGAGCAAGTGAGCGGAGCGCGTCACATTCCCAAGTCCCATAAGACCACTGATGTCAAACACCCTGACTTTCTTGTCACCATTGAGCCCAAACCAACGATTCTCATCCCCGGAGTTGGAAGGTTCTTGCTTCCTCCCAAATGTAAGAAACCCTTCTTCCCTTACAATCCTGTCACCGGAGCTCCCCTTACTGGTGGGTCTATCCCATCATATGGTGGTGGACAAGGCGCCGGAACTCCTCGCACCCAACTCCCTGGTGGGGATGATACGCTTGTCCCAAACCCCGGAGTTGAAACTCCAACCCCGACCATTGGGGCTGGCACTGGAGCCAACGGCCAAGTTCCACCAGTGCCACAACCCTGAGTGTTTTTCTTTCTTTCAATTTGTCAACAAATTAAATAAGCATTTCTTAGATGCAAAAGGGTCTATTTTTTAGTGTCTTGAGTCTTGGATTGATAAGTAACCTTCTGGTTTACTAGCCGCTACGTTAGAGTCATATGTTTGCCATCTCTCTGTATCTCTCTATATCTGCTCGAAAGAAAGAGAATCTTGTGTCATGTCTTCAGTTTATGTTGTCAATGAAATCCAGAGCATTTGTTTACCTACCATTATATAGAATTATGGAAGTGTTTTGCAAGTTACACGTAAAGAATCCTCCAAGTAGGCTATTAATGACAATCTATATACGTCGAAGTTGTGATGCATACACTACACTAAACAGATTGAAGGTAACCAAATTGCTCATTCCCTAGACACTGAGTGACCAAAATGTTATGCTCAGTGGACCAAATAATGGATTTCTCATAAGTATTCTTAGTAGTAGTACTGAAAACATTCAGAGTTTCAGACCAGTTTAATTAAGTTGACAATTAACATCTCAACTTTTTTTAACTTGAAAAAGAATGTTAACTTTTTTCTTACAATAATTATAGTTAAAAAAGTTTAACATTATTTTTCAAGTTAAACAATAATGTTTGCATGGACCGTCCATCGCTTTAGGAACTGTATACCCTATCGCAGATGGGAAAGATGCGTCTTCTCCAATATTCTTCCAGTGAAACGTTGTCCTGCTTTTAGTCCGTTGGCCAGTGTTGATGGGGAGCATGAAAGAGACATCTTTGTTATGTATAAACACAACAAGAACAGCCCGACCGTGTTTAAACTAAACTCGAAACAAAATGTGTGGGAAGAGGAGAGATCTTGGAGGCTTGACAATATTTGTAACTATCCCTACCTCTCTTTCATAAGAGTTGGTCTCTCAACGGAGGAGACTTACGGAAGGGATCAACTTTGTCTAGGGTTGGTTCTTGATATATAAGCTTTTAAAACACATAGCATATCGATCTGTTGCTACATCAAAATGATTTAAAAACCATCTATGTTGAAGTTGTGATGCATACACTAATCAGAATGAAGGTAACCAAACTGTAAACAGTCATAACCATATGATACGCTGATGCAAACGGGATAATGGAAGCCACTGTCTGGCCACGAGAAAGCAACCAAATAGGATCAGTGTATCAAATAATGGAGGTCATCTTAGTACTAGCAACGAAAACAGCCATGGTTAGTAATCAGCCCCCACCACTACTGTTTCAAGTTCAACAATGGAGCTCGAAGAAAGTGGACACGTTGCTCCTAAATTAGCATTCATAAATATCAGAGAAAGATGAAGCATCCTGGAAGGACAATGATAGTATGATAGTGAGTAGAAACGGATTGGAGATTTGACAATGGTAGTATTACATTTTCTCATCATTATTCAGAACGTTGCGGAAGTGAATAGCTTACCCGCAGAATAAACAGAGCAATGAAGTGAAAGAATTCACATACAATAGCGTAATCTTGAATGAGCATCTATGGGGAAGAAGAAGAAGGAGCAACTCGATCAGCTTCTATCATCGACTTTATGTAGTACTCTCCCGCTTTGTACGATGACCTCACCATAGGCCCTGATGCTACATACCTGAACCCCTGTTTACAACACAAATTTTCCATTTAGCCTTCTTTTCCATTGTATTTTTCAGCTAACAAACTTAAGAAGGGACCATTACCATTTCCATGCCAAGAAGCCGATACCTCTCAAAGGCCTCTGGTGTCACATACTCGGCTACTGGCATGTGGCGCTTAGACGGTCGCATATATTGCCCAAATGTCATTACGTCAACCCCTGCAGCTCTCACTTTCTCCATTGTCTTCAACACTTGATCAGGGGTCTCTCCGCATCCCAGCATTACCGAGGTCTTTGTTAGGGTGCCTGCAGGTGCATGCTCCTTAGCCATCCTAAGCACATCCAGTGACTGCTTAAAATTAGCACGGTGATCCCGCACAAAACTCTGAAGCTCTTCAACTGTCTCGATGTTGTGGGCAAAGACGTCAAGCCCCGACTTGGACACCTTCTCAACACATCCACCGTCTCCACGGAAATCAGGAACTACAACA